TCACCGCACAGGCTCCATAGGAAATGAATGGAGAGCGAGCGACGTCGCCTCCCTTGTGTCGAGCCCTTAAAGCGCCCAGTATGGTCGATTGGGAGCTGACCGGATGATGCACGGTCACCTGGTTGTCTGATGTTTGTTTTTGCACACACCTYTCATAGTCCTTGAGACACACAGCTCCAGAGAAACCCCTCTCGCTGTGGGATACGTCACTGAATGTTCTTTTTTTGTCTCCACTCTGTAGAAAAAAGAAAAAAACCCTCTGATATCTGCGGTTATTTTGTTAAACAGTCCCAATGAAAGCTCCACACCTTTTTACAGATGGATTATTTTGTGCACAATGCCCGTTTTATTACCATTCATGAATATTTGTCCGTTTGACTCTTTCTAAATGTCTGCTTTATGACACAACAGTCAGATTCTTGGAGTGAGTAGTTGTCACAAAATGCAGCGTCCGAACTCTTTCAGTATAAACAAACACGCCCACGAACTTCCGACCAATCAAACAGTTTAGTTCTCATGTGGATTGGTGTGAAAATTCTCACCATGGGTTGTGACAAGAACTGGTGGAAGACTCTAAGCTGCAAACAAAGTGATGCAATTTTCATCATGCAACTGCGACAGTGAAAGCCGATTTCAGCAGATGGAGCATGGGTGCTTTAGTAGTTGTCTAGTTCTTGAAAATGATTTTATAATCTTATAACCACAAAAGGAAAAGTTAGGTGTTGTGTCCAGAATTCTTCAATATGTCAGTATTTTGTTTGTTATGATACAGAGTATCGGCAYGGTGGCTCAGTTGGTAGAGCTGATGCCTCTCAGCAAGAAGGTCACTGGTTCAAATCCCGGTCKGGGGACCTTTCTGGGTAGAGTTTGCATGTTCTCTCCGTGCATGCGTGGGTTCACTCCGGGTACTCCGGCTTCCTCCCACAGACCAAAAACATGACTGTTAAAACATGACTCTAAATTGTCCCTAGGTGTGAGTGAGAGAGTGAATGCTTGTTTGTCTCGTTTGTCTCTATGTGTGGCCCTGTG